GTAGGTTTAAAATATGTATGTCACAAAAACAGGTTTTAATTAGCAATTTTATCAGTGTGTTGATGAAGGTGGGAAGAAAGGTAAAATATAAGCAGAATAAACCCCCACTTTAAAATTGCATACCATACCATACCCATACCTACACTGGTGAGTGATCTGGTTATGTTATTGAATATGTATTTAACCACTTGCCTACTGGGCACTTATACCCCCTTCCTGCCCAGGCCTATTTTCAGTTTTCAGCGCTTTCTCACTTTGAATGACAATTGCCCGGTCATGCAACACTGTACCCATATGAAATTTGTATAATTTTTTTCACACAAATAGAGCTTTCTTTTGGTGGTATTTAATCACCACTGGGTGTTTTTATTTTTTACGCTATAAAACAAAAAAGTGCAAATAATGTGAAAAACAAAGTGATTCTTTGTTTATTTTATAACATTTTACAAACAGGTAACTTTTTTCCTTCACTGATGTGCTTTGATGACAGGCAGCACTGATGGGCACTGATGAGGTGGCACGGAGAGGCAGCACTGACAGGAGGCACTGATAGGCAGCACTGATGATGCTGCACTGCTGGGCACAGGTGGGCGGCACTGATGGGTACAGGTCATCAGTGCCGATCACTTCTCTGACAATTGCCGGTCATCGGCAGTACTTTCCCTCTCGCTGTGACAGCGTGAGGAAAGTGCAGCTGATAACCGGCAACTGTATTTACCCGGTGATCTGCTGTGTCATTGGACACAACTAATCACATGGTAAAAGTTTGCCGTGATTGGCCATTTACCATATCACGTGATCAGCTGGGGGCGTGTTCTGGAATGATGTCCATGGACGTAGTCCCAGAACCAGACAACCGCGCTGTAACCGTCCTTCGGCTATAGCTCAGTAGGGAACTGGTTGTATTAATTTACTAGGTCTGTGCCTTCTTTTATTCTTTCAAACAACACAAAAGTGAAAAAGTATTTGTCCCCTTCCTGATGGTTTTTATTTTTTTTGCATATTTGTCACACTTAAATGATTCAGACCATCAAACAAATTTTAATATTACACAAACATATCCTGAGTAAATAAAAAATCAGATTTAAAATGATGATTTATTTATTAAGGGTAATTGACGTATCAGTCTGGAAAGGGTTGCAAAACCATTTCGAAGGCTTTGGGACTCCAGAGAACCACAGTGAGAGCCATTATCCATATATTTAGAAAACTTAGCAGAGTGATGAACCTTCCCAGGAGTGTCAAGCCTACCAAAATTACTCCAAGAGTACACTACGACTCATCCAGGAGGTCATAAAAGAACTGAGAACAACATCTAAAGTACTGCAGGCCTCACTTAAGGTCAGTGTTCCAAGGCAAAAGCCACTGCTCACCATAAAGAGCACAAAGGCTTGTCTCACATTTGCCAGAAAAATCTTGATTATCCCCAAGACTTTTGGGCAAATAGTCTGTGGACTGAGGAGACAAACTTTGAACTTTTTGGAAGCTGTGCATCCCGTTACATCTAGCTTAAAACTAACAAGCATTTCATAAAAAGAACATCATACCAGCAGTCAAACATGGTGGTGGTAGTGTGATGGTCTGGGGCTGCTTTGCAGCTTCAGGACCTGGACGACTTGCCAACATTGATAGAACCATGAATTCTGTGCTGTACTAGAAAATCTTGAAAGAGAATATCAGGTTATTAGTTTGTGAGCTCAAGCTCCTGCGCACTTGGGTTATGCAGCAGGACAATGATCCAAAACACACCAGTAAGTCAACCTCAAAAAAACCCCCCAAAAAAAAAGGTTTTGGAGTGGCCTAGTCAGGGTCCGGAATTATATCGGAGATACGTCATATGACGTCCTCCCAGAACGCGCCCTCCCGCGTGCCGCGCGGGGGGGGGGTGCACCCGGTGATCTCAGAGGCCTTTTGCCACATGATCAGCTGTGACAATGACACAGCAGATCACAGGTAAATGCAGTTGCTGGTTATCGGCTGCACTGTGTCCACTGATGACCACCAGCAGGTGGTATAAATAAGGTAGGGCTGGAGCAAGAGGTTGCTCTTGGCCTGGGACTCAGAGAGTCATATCTGAGTGACCTGCGGATGAAAGTTTGTGCTCCACAAGCAAGGAAAAGGTTTGTATATTGTTTTCATTTTGTTGGTGACAGGGAGAAGCCCTTCAACTTTGAGAGAGGAATCTGCTGTGTTTAGTTAGTGCCTGGATGGCGAGGATTTATTTCCTGTTTTGTTTGTTTTGATGTTTGCAACCTTGTAAATAAAACTGACAAGTCAGATTTTAAGAAAGCCCTGCTGTTTGGACTACCTGTTTCCCAGGGAACGTGATCACACACACACTATTGGGACACCTGCCTTTATACGCACATGAACTTTAATGGCATCCCAGTCTTAGTCCATAGGGTTCAATATTGAGTTGGTCTACCCTTTGTAGCTATAACATCTTCAATTCTTTTGGGAAGGCTGTCCACAAGGTTTAGGAGTGTCTATGGGAATGTTTGACTATTCTTCCAGGAGCGCATTTGTGAGGTAAGGCACTGATGTCAGAGGAGAAGGCCTGGCTCGCAGTCTCAGCACTTATTCATCCCAAAGGTGTTCTATCAGGTTGAGGTCAAGTTCCTCCACCCCAAACTCATCCATGTCTTTATGGACCTTGCTTTTTGCACTGGTGCGCAGTCATGTTGGAACAGGAAGAGGTCATCCCCAAACTGTTCCCACAAGGTTGGGGGCATGACATTGTCCAAATTGTCTTGGTATGCTGACGCCTTAAGAGTTCCTTTCACTGGAACTAAGGGACCAAGCCCAACCCCTGAAAAAACATCACCACACCATAATCCCCCTCCACCAAACTTTAAACTTGGCACAATGCAGCCAAGCAAGTACTGTTCTCCTGGCAACTGCCAAACCCAGACACGTCCTTCAGTTTGCCAGACAGAGAAGCATGATTCATCTCTACAGAGAACACGAATCCACTGCTCTAGAGTCCAGTGGCAGCGTGCTTTACACCACTGCATCTGACGCTTTGCATTGCACTTGGTGATGAAAGACTTGGATGCAGATGCTTGGCCATGGAAACCCATTCCATGAAGTTCTCTATGCACTGTTGGTTTGCTAATCTGAAGGCCACACAAAGTTTGGAGGTTTTGCACTATTGACTCAGCAGACAGTTGGTGACTTCAGCATGCACTGACCCCTCTCTGGCATTTTACGTGGCCTACCACTTCGTGGCTCAATTGCTGCTGTTCCCAGTTGCTTCCACATTGTTATAACACCACTAACAGTTGACTATAGAATATTTAGTAGCAAGGAAATTTCACGGATGGACTTTCACGGAGTACACACACACGCACACACTTTGAAAACACATCAGATCTCAATGTGGAAAAATATCAAGCTGGATATCTATACTGATATGGACTGGGTAATGTGTTAGAAACGTAAGGGTTCCCCTTCGTTTGATGGAAATGAAAACTATCAACCTACAGAGGACTGAATTCAAAGACACCCCAAAAATCAAAGTCAAAAAAGATACCGCAGGCTAGTCCAGGCTTTCCATTTTGCTGCAGCAACTCAAAATGGTATTCAGTAGTTTGTATGGCCCCCATGTGCTTGTATGTATGCTCGACAAAGTCGGGGAATTCTCCTAATTAGATGATGGATGGTGTCCAGGGTTATCTCCTCCCAGATCTGGACCAGGGCATCACTGAGCTCCTGACAGTCTGAGGTGCAACCTGGCGTTGTCGGATGAACCGAAACATGAATCCCAGAGGTGTTCTATTGGATTTAGGTCAGGCGAGCGTGGGGTACATTCAATGGTATCAGTTCCTTCATCTTCAAGATACTGCCTGCATACTCTTGCTACATGAGGCCGAGAATTTTCATTCACTAGGAGGAACCCACTGCACCAGCATAGGGTCTGACAATGGGTCCAAGAATTTCATCCCGATACTTAATGGCAGTCAGGGTGCCATTGTCTAGCCTGTAGAGGTCTGTGTGTCTCTCCATGGATATGCCTTCCCAGACTTTCATTGACCCACAACCAAAACGGTCATGCTGAATGATGTTACAGGCAGCATAATGTTCTCCCCTTCTTCTACAGACCCTTTCACATCTGTCACATGTTCTCCGGGTGAACCTGCTCTCATCTGTGAAAAGCACAGGGCGCCAATGGCGGAATTGCCAATTCTGGTGTTCAATGGCAAATGCCAATCGAGCTCTATGGTGTGGGGCAGTGAGCACAGGTACTACTAGAGGATGTCGGGCCCTCAGGCCACCCGCATGAAGTCTGTTTCTGGTTGTTTGCTCAGAGACCTTCGCACCAGTGGCCTGCTGGAGGTCATTTTGTAGGGCTCTGGCAGTGCTCATCCTTTTCCTCCTTGCACAAAGGAACAGATACTAAGGACTAAGCAGCACTATGGACCTTCTAAGGCCCTGTCCAGCTCCCCTAGAGTAACTGCCTGTCTCCTGGAATCTCCTACATGTTCTTGAGACTGTGCTGGGAGACCAGGCAAACCTCCTGGCAATGGCACGTATTGATGTGCCATCTGGGAGGAGTTGGAGTGCAACCTCTGTGAGGTCCAGGTATCGCCTCATGCTACCAGTAGTGACACTGACCCTTGTCAAATGCAAAACTAATGAAAAACAGTCTGAAAAAATGACGAGGGAAAAAAAAATGTCAGTGGCCTCAACCTGTAAAACCATTTCTGTTTTGGGGGTCATCTCATTGTTGACCAACTAGTGCACCTGTTGTCAATTTCATTAACACCAAAGCAGCTGAAACTGATTAACAACCCCCTCTGCTACTTAACTGACCAGATCAATATCCCAGGAGTTTAATTGACTTGATTATACTCTGATTAAAAAGTGTTCCTTTCATTTTTTTTGAGGTGTGTGTGTTGTAGCTTAACCGCTACAACCTTGTAAAGGTCTACTGTGACTGCGTTTCTTTTGTCCTATCATTGCTGCTGTTCATATTACATCTAATTAATCTTCTTCCCTAGGACTTATAGGAAACGTTCCCAGCCCCGAAGGCAAAAAATACAAGATCAAAAACTGTTAAGAGAGGTGCTTGGCCCAGATGCTATTGCAGAAGAGAGAGAGGATGAAATCAAGAAATGCAGGGAGAACATTGACAATATAAAGTGTCCTGAAGGTGTGCACAAATATTTTTTTTCTATGTGGTTAAATTGAGATAAAAAATGCATGCTGTTACTAATACTACATATCAGATTTTAATTGTAACAGACACCGCTTACTGTTTGGTAAACACATAATGCATATTGATTGCAACCTGCATTTTCATCTACAAAGGACTAATCCCCACCCCTTTCAGAACCATCAGAATTATCAAGACTGAGAAAGAAAAAAGAAGGGATGTAGAAAAATAAAAAAAAATGATGAACAAGGAAAGTTTTCTCTGGTCATCTTAATGAATTAATGTAATACTAAAATTGCCACCTTTTTCGTTTGCTTTTCTGTACAGCTATTACTGTTCAGGTAACACTGTAAAACAACAGCAGTACACAACTGGAACTAGGAGCACACTTGACAGGCAGAACAGCCTTGATGTCAGTGTTTCCCTATTTGGCTGCAGAGCTCTGGATCCTGGAGACTAATGCTAAGGCTGCATTCACATGATCGCATGAACAGGCACCATAGGGAAAAATTGTTTTTTTAAGTTTGAGCTTTTTTGGAGCTTCAAGCTACAAAACGCTCAAGTGTGATTGCAACCTTAGAGACTGAAGCTTCCAGGCTTCCACCCCCCCTCCCCTCCAGTGATACCAGCTGGTGGCCACATCTTACATGCTTGCCATTGAACCATCTAAGGGCCTCCTCTTCGCTTTGAAGCTGAGGGCTGTGTTTTGACTGCAATATGCTTTGTTAGTAATGGTAACAGAGCCACTACCTTTAAAGGATAAGTTTAGGAGGATGTTACATATTCCCATGTTTAGGGTGTAACATGTGACATGCTCCTATACACACCTCCCACCACCACCACCACTCCCCTCTGTGACAGTGAGCGGGGGATCTTCACCCTGCACCCGCTGTCACTTTTTGGAAACAGTGCTGCTGTACGTGGCTCCACCCTTCATTCACAGGTTTCTGATTGAATGAACTCCAAGTACCGACGTTTGCCACAGCAGACGGCTTGTAGTTCTCAAAGAACTGTGAGGGTGCTGGTGAGTGCTTTTGTAGTTATTTTTTTCTTCTGCAATTTGACAACTGTCAGACCGTTTAGAACAGAGACTGACTGAGAGTTTGCAGGATACTTGCAATCTGCTGATCATGGGTGCAATACTTTACAGGCTGCAGAGCTAAAAAAATAATAAATGCACATTCATTGATGGACAAAGCTGCTTCTTCTTTATACATTACCAAACAGGGTTTTATAGCCCCACTTACAGGAGTAGGACACTGGGCAGAAAAAGAATTGGCACCTGCTTAGGGCATTCCTCTCGGGTCGTAAAACCCCCTCTCTCTAATAGGTCTCCAACCTAGTGTTTTCAAGAATATGGATGGGACTTATTGCTGGGACTTATGGTCCCAGAACTTTTTCCTTTTATTTTTCCCTGGACTTCTACTTTTCCTGCAGAGGTCTTGGTCACTCCAGTCTGACCAGCGAGTGCATACAGACCGTTAGCTCCATACTCAGTTGGCCACAATTATGCCCCACCCTGGACCGGGCCAGCCAGCAAGTTAAACCTCTCGTGGGGGCACATATGACCAGGTGCCTACAGTCAGTGTCACAGTGTTACCCAGGCCGATAGCCCCCCACTTCAGTAGAGAGGAGGATCTGTCAAGGGAGACTTACCTGCACGTGCCAAGGGATCGGTAAGTAGTGACCCCCCCTCTCCCCAAAAGCAGTGTGGTTGGTCGGTCCTGTGGGGTCCCCTTTAAACCCCCCTAAAAACCCCTCTACCGCCCCTTCCTCATAACAGCATCCCGGGTGGCTTGGCAGTGTGGATGCTGTTATCCACAGTTTAACCTGTCCAGCAACAAGTAAAAAAAATTAAAAAAGCGGAAAAAAAAACACATTTGGAAAAACGCAATATGAACCGCAAAAAATGCACTGCAGAAATGGATCAAACGCATGCTGCATAGGTGTGAACCTAGCCTAAAAGCAGAGGTAGTGGCCCGTTCTAGGTTCACCGTTGCCAGATGATGGGCCAGCGTTGGCTATGGCCCTGGTGTGCCAGACACTGACAGAATGGGCCAAAGTTCTGTGACAAGCCTTAACTTCTAGTTAGATGCCACAGGCGTATGTGGAACTAGCGGTCCAGTTGGTCCAGGGATTAAAATACATTTGTGACGCATCCCTTGATGCTGCTCCGATTTTCTCTAAACTGTCCGTCTCAGCTGTGGTGCTCCAGTGGGCTCTTTGGCTCATGTTTTGGGACACACCACGGGACCGAGGGACAGGTAAGTGGCTGTTTTTTAAAAGTCAGCAGCTACAGTTTTTGTAGCTGCTGACTTTTATTTTTTGGCAGGGTGAGTGGAACTCCTCTTTAAGTGATTCTTAGGGCTAGAACACACAATTGGAAAATCGGACGAAAAGTACCGCTTTTGAAGCTATAGTACGATAATCTGATCTAATGATCAGATTATCGTACTATAGCTTCAAAAGCGGCACTTTTCGTCCCAAATTATTAGAAGGAGAAAACACGAACACTTTTTCCATACAATACCAGATCGTACGGTTTTCATTTAATCAGTACAGGATGCGTCCAAAAAAAAAATCAAAAGAGCAAGACCACGAATGCTCTGAAACTAAAGAATGCATTACAATACAATACAATACAACACATTGCATCACCTCTGAAGTTGCATTCTGTCGTATGAGAATTTTCATAACTTTAACAACCACTTCATTTTTGATATGAGACTAGCATGCAAAAAAAACCCCAAAAAAGGATGATCATTCATCCAGTATTCTCATCGTATATACAGGCTGTAGACTTTTTGGGATCAAGTGGCTGTCTTAAGTCTGTAAGGCTACTCCTTTGTCACCATTTTATTAGATTTTACCAGGTGGATATGACTGGATGTGGTGACTACTAGTTTTGGATGTAAGGTTTCATAGGCAGTAGTATGAATCACTCAGTTTAGAAAATGGCTTACTTTGATGTCGAGGGGTTTTTTCCAACCTTTCATATAAGTACTGCTTGTAGATACAGTCAGGTCCATAAATATTGGGACATCTACACAATTCTAACATTTGTGGCTCTATACACCACCACAATGGATTTGAAATTAAACAAACAAGATGTGCTTTAACTGCAGACTGTCAGCTTTAATTTGAGGGTATTTACATCCAAATCAGGTGAACGGTGTAGGAATTACAACAGTTTCCATATGTGCCTCCCACTTGTTAAGGGACCAAAAGTAATGGGACAATTGGCTTCTCAGGTGTTCCATGGTGAGGTGTGTGTTATTCCCTCATTATCCCAATTACAATGAGCAGATAAAAGGTCCAGAGTTCATTTCAAGTGTGCTATTTGCATTTGGAATCTGTTGCTGTCAACTCTCAAGATGAGATCCAAAGAACTGTCACTATCAGTGAAGCAAGCCATCATTAGGCTGAAAAAACAAAACAAACCCATCAGAGAGATAGCAAAAACATTAGGCGTGGCCAAAACAACTGTTTGGAACATTCTTAAAAAGAAGGAACGCACCGGTGAGCTCAGCAACACCAAAAGACCCGGAAGACCATGGAAAACAACTGTGGTGGATGACCGAAGAATTCTTTCCCTGGTGAAGAAAACACCCTTCACAACAGTTGGCCAGATCAAGAACACTCTCCAGGAGGTAGGTGTATGTGTGTCGAAGTCAACAATCAAGAGAAGACTTCACCAGAGTGAATACAGAGGGTTCACCACAAGATGTAAACCATTGGTGAGCCTCAAAAACAGGAAGGCCAGATTAGAGTTTGCCAAACGACATCTAAAAAAGCCTTCACAGTTCTGGAACAACATCCTATGGACAGATGAGACCAAGATCAACTTGTACCAGAGTGATGGGAAGAGAAGAGTATGGAGAAGGAAAGGAACTGCTCATGATCCTAAGCATACCACCTCATCAGTGAAGCATGATGGTGGTAGTGTCATGGCGTGGGCATGTATGGCTGCCAATGGAACTGGTTCTCTTGTATTTATTGATGTGACTGCTAACAAAAGCAGCAGGATGAATTCTGAAGTGTTTTGGGCAATATTATCTGCTCATATTCAGCCAAATGCTTCAGAACTCCTTGGACGCCGCTTCAGAGTGCAGATGGACAATGACCCAAAGCATACTGCAAAAGCAACCAAAGAGTTTTTTAAGGGAAAGAAGTGGAATGTTATGCAATGGCCAAGTCAATCACCTGACCTGAATCCGATTAAGCATGCATTTCACTTGCTGAAGACAAAACTGAAGGGAAAATGCCCCAAGAACAAGCAGGAACTGAAGACAGTTGCAGTAGAGGGCTGGCAGAGCATCACCAGGGATGAAACCCAGCGTCTGGTGATGTCTATGCGTTCCAGACTTCAGGCTGTAATTGACTGCAAAGGATTTGCAACCAAGTATTAAAAAGTGAAAGTTCAATTTATGATTATTATTCTGTCCCATTACTTTTGGTCCCTTAACAAGTGTGAGGCACATATGCAAACTGTTATAATTCCTACACCGTTCACCTGATTTGGATGTAAATACCCTCAAATTAAAGCTGACAGTCTGCCGTTAAAGCACATCTTGTTTGTTTCATTTCAAATCCATTGTGGTGCTGTATAGAGCCAGAAATGTTAGAATTGTGTCAATGTCCCAATATTTATGGACCTGACTGTATATATACAGGTGAAACTCAAAAAATTAGAATATCGTGCAAAAGTTCATTTATATCAGTAATGCAGCTTAAAAGGTGAAACTAATATATGAGATAGACTCATTACATGCAAAGCAAGATAGTTCAAGCTGTGATTTGTCATAGTTGTGATGATTATGGCTTACAGCTCATGAAAACCCCAAATCCACAATCTCAGAAAATTAGAATATTGTGAAAAGGTGCAATATATTCTAGGCTCAAAGTGCCCCACTCTAATCATTTAATTAAGCCATAACACCTGCAAAGGGTTCCTGAGCCTTTAAATGGTCTCTGTCTTGTTCAGTAGGAATCACAAT